TTTTTTTTTTTTAAATTTAAATTTAAATTTACAAAAAAATCACACTCAAAAATCAACAGCAACAATAACAAAAACAATTAAACAACAAACAAACAATTAAACCACTTAGTAGTTTTGGTGTATCCTAGTGATTAGGCTACCGGGCTCGTAACCGCGAGATTGCGAGTTCTGGGGTTCGAGCCTCAGGCCCGACGACATGTCCTTGGGGAAGGCTTTTTACACGAATTTCGTCATTTCATCCAGGTGTGAATTGGTACTCAGCTAAAGACAGCGAAAGATCTAGTCATTATGTTACAATGCTAGTGTTTTAGCGCCAGTACAGCAACTTGCACTGTTGCTTCCAGGAAGCTGAGATTGTTTAAGAATGCTTTCATGTCTGGTGCGGTAATAGACTGTAAAGAGCACAGAGCTTGCTGTTGAGCGGGAATTTGGGCTATAATATAAATGTGATCTATTATCTATCCTGCATACACAGTAAAAATAGTAAGGGAACTGGAAGCAGCAAAAAAGGTAAGCCGGTGAAATAATAATTTATTCCTACGAAACACCCAATCTGAGAGCCATGGATGGAAGATCTAGATGTTTACTGTACACATAGTTTTACTAGGTAGGACGTCGGTACCGCTAATAAGTCCGTGTAAATCCTTTACGGCGGATTAGTAATGTGTTCAAGTCCTGTAAAATATTACAATAATACACGCGTGTTGGAAAAACTGGGAGAGTAACAGGCTCCACGATTCGGTTGCTTTAATAACAGGATTGGAGTAAATTTGCGGATGCTTCGGTTATTTCACTTTTTGTTTACGAAGAATTCGAAGGGCGTTTAAATATTCCGCCATGGCTGCGGGAAGGTAAGCTTGGATTATTGTGAACCTTATATTTAGAGCCTGATTTGTTTGATTATACATTTCTATAACATACCAGCCAATAAGTTTACTTATGTAAGTACCCCATCCCCCCCCCCCCCCTCAACAGACTTTAAAACAACAACAAACAAACAAAAAAATCTACTTTTTTTCCTTTTCTATAACATCCTATAAATAGCTGAAAAAAGGAAGATATACAACATTAACAACAAGAACTGCGACAACAACGACGACAACAACAATAACAACAACACAACAACAGCATCAACAACAACGGCAACAATAATAACAACAGCAACAACAGCAACAGCAACAGCAACAGCAACAACAACACCAACCGCAGCAACTACACAACGATAGGAGCAACAACAACAACAACAACTAAACACGACGATAATAACTATAATATAAAGAGCAACATGTTTGTGTTAATGTCATGTGTAAAAACGACCTTATTGCATTGCAAGAAGAAGAAGAAGAAGAAGAAGAAGAAGAAGAAGAAGAAGAAGAAGAAGAAGAA